GCTGAGAATTCAGATTTAGGAGGGGACTGTGACGCTGATGACTGTTTACCTATTGAAGTAAGTCAAACAAACAGTGTATCGACAAGATCACTCAATTCATCTGGCCACAGTACTCCACAGACTACTCCGATACGCACCATTGTAAAAGCGAGAAATCCAAGTACGTTGGAGGAAGCTAAACAGTTAGCGCGTTCAGAAGAAATCGAATATAAGTCTAGTTATGAATTTAATCAAAATGTAAACGAAAATCGAAATTTTAATAATAATTCATCTAATGCAAACAATCAGAATAATTTCAGGAAATTTAATAATAATAATGATAAAAATGCACAAAGACCAAATTTCAGAAATAATTTTAATAATCAAAATTTTAGAAATAACACAAATCCAAATAATAATTTCGCGCGATCAAATTTTAATACTAATAATAATAATAATAATAATAATAATAATAATAATAATAATATAAATCAGCCGCAAAGACCGATAAAATGTTATATTTGCAACGGAAATTATTTCGCTAACCAGTGCACAAATAAACGTAACTTTACGCATAATACTCGACCACCTAATCAGAATAATTTTACACGAACATCTACTAGTTATAATATGAGGTATATTTCATGTGAATATTGTAATAACAACGGACATAATATAAATGAATGCTATAAAAAAATGTTTAACGATAGACAGAATAATTAAATAACGATGATAATAACGTAAATTCGGAAAACGCGAGCGAGTCGTGCGTGGTACGCGGTACACGTACGATAAATCATATACCGACTGCGCCAATTTTTGTTACGTGCCAACCGATCGATCTGATGATTCAGTTTCAACGTCTCAGTCAATGCTTGATTGGAAGTGTAGTCAGGAATAATTAAGACTTTTTTAAAATAATTAAATTTATTTAACTCATAAAATTATCCTAACTACAATTTTGTAAATATTCCAAGTAGAAATTATCTAAGTCCTAACAATTGTAACTTATAAAAATAATTGAAATATTTCTAAGTCCGGACCATAACATACACTGACGTGAAGGTGCTCAGTGCAGCATAGTCAAAACTCGTCTGATTTGCCCTTGTTTTCGGGTCCCTTTTATATGTGATATCTGTATGTGTGTGTGTAAATCTCAAGTGTGTGTGTGCAAATGAAAACTGATAATAAAATAATTAAAATAAAATAATTTCCTGTGAATTCTGTGAATTATCTCTCAACCGGTCCATAATCAGTGACGCACAGATCGAGGATGTGGTCACCCTCGTTTTTATTACTTATTTCAATTAAATAATAAAATCTACATATTTAGTTGTTAATAATCTAACTTGTCCACGGTTGTGGTTTTTGTAGTTTTGATTTTTTAAATAGTTGCAAATAGATATGTGTAACTATCCGTAGATATTAGAATATATGTAACCATCCGTAGATGCGTTCACAGGAACCCCCTTGTTGTGTAAGTGTTCATGTTTGACTAAGCGGGACGCGACAATTGAAAGCCTGGAACCGTTACAGCAGGGGTCGGCAAGTAATTTATTGGAGTCCTAAAAATTAAAATAATAAATCAATGAGGTCCAGTGAAAACAATCTTTTTAAAATTTTTATATTTTAAAAATAGCAGTATAAAAATAAAAATAATTATTTGGTTATTACAATTAATTTATATTAATAATTGCAATATAAAGAGTATGAAAATAAAAATGAATGAGGTCCAGAGTATTGCCTTCCGCGGTCCGGATCCGGACTACGGTCCAACAGTTGCCGACCCCTGCGTTACAGTATCGTAGTGGATTGTCATTTCGTTGAAGAATAATGGGCACGCCAAACTTTAATGTTAAAACGTGCAGTGGCATTAATGCATTTTAATTCCATAGACAAACGTGCCATGGAAACAAGTAATACAAAATAATAATAACAAATTTAGGGGTAATAATTTTTTTCGTACTAATTAATATTATAATATTGAAACTAATAGCAAAATTTAGCTAATAAAGTTAACCACACAATGTGAAATTCATAGTATGATTGTCGCTGTGCACAAAGATATTAGTATAAAAACGTTAAAATTGTTCATTTAATTTTGTATTCCATCTTTTCTGATAAAAAATGTGGCCTACATAAATAAATTGAATGCTGACCCCTGATCTAAAACAAATATTTAATAATTCACATGATGTCTGTTCAAATGGTCTGTTGCACCATTTTGTTTTTTAAAAGCAGCATGTTGTTTATGACAGTATTTGAATAATGGAAAATTGTTTAAGTTATTTTTTTTTTATCGAACCTTCCGTAGAAAAATATTTTATACAAATGATTATATATTATAATCATACATTGTATTTTAATGTCATTTTTTTCTTAATCATAGATTATAATCTGATATTTATTAGATTTAAAAACCAAACGATTTTTAGGAAAATAACCCCTTAAAAAAAAAATTATGAGTAAATTAAGAATATCGAGTAATTTTCAACATTTATTGAAGAATGAAAATATTGATAAATTGGTCTGGGTGTCTAGGATTCCAAATAGCTTCCTGTAAGAAGACAGCGGCAGCTATTTTTTCGGACACAACCGATGCGGAAGACATTTTGACAGTGATTAATCGCCGAATATCAAGCTATTTTGTTCTTTCAGCGATTACCGCGCGTGTAAAACTACACGCGACATGCGACACGCGCTCAGTGGGGCCACTATATATGAGTTACATACTTTTGTTAAAATCGCTAAAACGCAAAATCGCTACTAGTGGGGCCGCACCTTAAGATTATTACGTAGTATATTTTAACCGTTATCTATCTATATGTATAAAAATATACTGCTAGCATAATCATAGGTAACGAATTTAATACACAGTTTGAGACATATTTGAGGTAGAATTTTTAACGGGTTTACGAAGTGCATGGGTTCAGCTAGTATATATATATATATAAATGGTTAAATATTATTAATATAATTATTTAATATCTTTTATAACTCATTTCAATTTTTTTGTAGTAATAAACTAAATTCAAAAACTCTAACCTATAGAAATACGCTTTTGAGCATATAAGTTAATATATTTTTGGTTATTATATATATATATTTTTTTTTTTTATTGATAACATTGCCACGGCAACTGGGGCCATTGATTACAAAAATATTGCATGAATTTACATTAAAAAAGGTTGCATATAATATTAACAGGAATACATTAAATTAAATAAATTAAATAAAATATACAATTGTATATTACAATTGTTATATAAATTAATGTAACTATTGCTTTTAAAAGCTTTTTACTGTATGAGAATCTAAATTTCCTCTTCCAAAGAGAAAGTTTCTTAACAATATAAATACTGGACAACTCTGCAAGGACTAGGGGTTTAAGGCCTACCATAGTGTTAATCTGGGCCTGCTCATAAGAGTTCTAAGAGAATCACTTAAGAAATAATTTCCAATTTATTGATGAAAACGAAATCGTAAACTTTCCAACTGAATTTTTGAATTCTCTGGATTTGCCAGGAATGCCACCACACAACCTTCAATTGAAAATTGGTTCACCAATTATTCTTCTACGTAATTTAAACCCACAACAATTATGTAACGGTACACGTTTAGTCATAAAAAAAAATGACCGAAAATATTCTTGAAGCAACAATTTTGTCGGGAAAATTTAAAGGAGATATCGTCCTGTTGCCACGTATTCCACTGATAGCGTCGGAATCTCCAATACCGTTTAAAAGGCTCCAATTTCCGATTTGTTTAGCTTTTGCGATGACTATAAATAAATCTCAAGGCCAAACAATGTCTATTTGCGGTTTGGATTTGGAAAACACATGTTTCTCACATGGACAGCTATATGTTGCCTGCTCACGTGTAGGAAAACCATCAAATCTCTTCGTGTTAGCGAAAGACAGGTTAACCAGGAATGTTGTACACAAAGTAGTACTTAGATAATTTTTAGTTTTAATAATTTAATTTATTTTTGTATGTTTTTAATGTATATAGTATATTTTGTAAGTAGGTCACTGATTACAAACAATAATTTAATATAAGATGAATAAAATGTAAATTCAGAAAATATATATGTTGGTTTGTACTTAATTTCAACATTTAGATGCTTTACCTATTACTTTTAAATTTTCTCATACATAATAACACTAATACATGGCCTACGAAAATGCCAAAAAACCAACTAATACGCGGGCAACGCCGTGTCGGGACAGCTAGTCTGTATATATAAAAATTTCGTGTCACGATGTATGTTCGCGATAATCTCCGAAACTACTGGACCGATTTTGATGAAATTTTTTACACCGTGTGTAATTTGGTCCAACTTAAAATATAGGATAGTTTTTTTTTCAAATTTTTTAATATTTTAAATATTTTAATTAACTTTTTAATAAATGTGTATAATTGTATGGTGTATTTCGGGTTTTCCCGTGACCGACCGCGACAGTATTTATATAGCTACCTGTAATCTGACCTTTTTTCTATTGTGTGTGTTTTATCGTCGGCAGCGTGTAGATATAAATTGTTCCGAGAATTATATAACTAACCTAACCTATGGTTTTTATCTCAATATAATTTTTGCATTGCAATTATTGTAATAAATATATAGGACAGCTAGTTATATATATTACCTTTAACCAGTGGTGTATTGGTTAGTATATTTGTGGGTATACGCACTAAAAAAATGTTCGATATTAATCCTAAAATAAATAGGATATTCAATAGAAGGCAATTCCACATCGGAACCACCGAGAAGCTGAACATCCTGCAGTCCTTCAACTTCTCAACTTCCATTGAATAGCTGATACTCCAACGGATCATTCAGTCAACAGCATGTCTTCAATCAACAATTGCTTGTAAGCATATATTTTGTAATAACCATATTATTTTAAGATACAATTTTATAAAAAGAAACGAAAACATTCTATGTTCATAAAAAAACCATTGGCACCTAAAAATTCTAACTAAATACCCACATTATTATTGAATTATTGAATTATTAAAGGGGATCCCGAGATTATATTGAGATTATATTGAGATTATATTATGATTATATTGAAATTATATTGAAATTATATTGTGTTTATATTGAGTTTATATTGAAGTTATATTGAGAATTATTATTGTGAAATTTATTGAGTTTATCTGAACAGAGGCTCAATACGGTAGGGAAAAATATTATTTTGTTGGAGTTATTATAAAAAGGAATAATATTAAAAATTATTTAAAGAGATTATTATTGAGATTATTATTGAAGATTTATTATTGAAAGAATTTATTGAGATTAATATTGTTGAATTATTGAGATTATTATTATTGAATTTAATGAGAATATTATTGAATTATTGAGAACTAGCTGAATTACCCGTCGTTGCCGGGTTTAACCCTTTATAGGTCTCTGGTAGCTATATTTACCAGGCAGTTTTTTATTTTTCTACCAATAGGTTATTGGTATATTGTTTTACCACTTGATGCAACGGGTAATTTAATGTCATACGAGTGGCTAGCCTGTACGCCAAACGTTGTTGTTGTTATCTTGTTATCGGGAATCGCGTAAACATGTCTAAGTGGTAAATTATTTTACCACTGCGCTTTAAATGCATGTAATTTTTCTTACAATGTAAATTTTTTACGTCTGAATATGTGTATTTCTCAAAGTATTACATTTTAGACTTCTAACGGTAAGTTAATTATTAGTTAATAACATATTTAACTTGGTTAGTGCACAATCATAACTTAATTACTAACAATAATAACAAATATGTGTACAAAAACATTTTTTTTTTT